CAGTTGTGCCATGTCTAGGAATCGAGTCAGGTGGTAGGGAGCCACCGTTTGACCCTTGCGAGCTAGGAGAGGAGGCCTGCAACTTGCGGCGTCCCACTAAAAGGGACCGCGGAAGGTGTCGTCATGATTTGTGGCATTATGGCGTGTTGTTGAATGAGTGTTGACTGGCGTGATGGGATGACTGGATGAAGGAGCGGAGCATGTGCAGAATTAATCGGTTCGTTGAGCCCATGTGGGTTTTGCCCCGATGATGTTGCTGTTTGGTCAACAGTGTATTGGATTTTGCGCGGGGTCTGGAGAGGCACGGCGGGGCTTGGTGTTCTGAGTAAGTAATATTTATGTTGCGGCTGCTCAATACCGGTTGTCGCTGTAGGAGATTTTGCTTCATGTCGTGGGGGTGAAGGCCTAGTTTTGCCCTGATGAGTTATGTTGGCTATATTTGTATGGTTAGTCTGGACAACATATCTTATTGGGCTTTGCCCGCGCAGCATTGCAGTTCAGCCGGTAGAGGAGCGAAGTGTATGCGGGGTCTGGTTGTGTATCGCGGGGCTTAGGGTTCTAAGTAAGTACTTCCTACGTTGTGACCGCTCAGTCCTGGCTGTAGATGTAGTAGATTTTGCTTTGTAACGAGGACGTGGAGGCCAACTGGTGTTCGGACGATTTGTGTTGCCTATATTTTCATGCTTAGTTCGGTCTGCGTATCGCTTTGGGCTTTGCCAAAGTGGCGATGCAGATCGGCTGGCAGTGTAGGGGGTTTGGGTTTACTCCAATTACTCGTTGTTGAGTTAGGGGTTACGAGGAGATAATTCCTACGTTGTGGCTGATCAACCTTGACTGTCGCTTTACTAGGCTTCGGCATAAAGCATGGTTTGTATTTGAAACCATTGGGTGTTATCTTGGCCGTTTTAGCGCGTTTGTGCATCGACTCGTTGTTATAATATTGTGGTTTGGAATGGAGCTGAGAAGACACAGTTATAGACCAACCTGGGTTTGGGCATCTGGGCTTAGGTGCCGTGTCAGTTTCAGGCTGCGTGAGATCGTTTACCGTACTGGAAACCGTGTATATGATGATAAGAAGCACAAGCTATCGAGTTCAGTGTACGTGTCACGTACATCAGACACGCTGTTGGGCTTCTCGCTGCATTCTGTTCTGTCCATGACTGCATTCAAGGTGGCCGTAACTTTTGCCTGTCCTTCATCTGCCGGTACCTCTGATGCGATGAGATTTAATTGTCGTTGTGACATGTCCATGTCAACGTTGTAGGCCATTGATGAGCTTGCTGTGGGAGTTGTGTTCAGGTGCATGCCCGGTATTGGTGTCGTATTGACAATTGAATTGGCAAAGGTCCTGACAGCGGTTACTGGAGACCATTCAGTAGCGTTTCTTCTAAAGGGCTGTTTGAGAGGGTTCAGGAGCATATTTATGGAATTGTGCAGGCTCTGCTTATTAGGGTATCGTACATTTGACATGAGCGCCCTTTGCAGTGGCGTCATGTCCACTTTAATCAATATGGGCCAGAGGTTCGCTTGCTTTCTTATGATGAACTTGTAGCCTAGAAAGCATTTGGCGTGATCTTGGCTGCTGAACTTGAGGACAATTGGGCATGGTCAGTTTTTCTCCTTTATTGTAGGCAGCTGCATGAGCAGCAATCCCGGTCCATTTTGCATACACTTAGCAGTGAGCGTGTCAATTTATCAAGTGGCATGCGATCTGGCACATTAAATATTATTACATTTCGTGCAAGGATGACTCGTTCGTTGACTTCCTAGGCGAGCGTGTTGAGAGATTCACCCGCTGCGCTAAGATCTTCCACTTTGTCTGATTTATGTAGATCCGATAGCTGCGCCAGCGGTAGAATTTTTGCTAACAATTGATTGATATTTTGTAATTCCGATTTTACCGAGGTTAGCGCATTTTCCATGTTTTGGACTTTAAGAAGCGAGTCTGTCAGCCGGTCTTGTGGTGCTGACTTACAGTCTGAAAGCAAAGACGACAGACACATAGGTGGTAACGATTTTAGGGACGTCACTGACATTTTAGCGTCATGTAATGCATCTGTCCGTGGATCGGAAAGGAGCACAAAGCAATTAGCCAATTTTCCTGGTGTAAGAGCCGCAGAGTTACCGGTTGTCACGTTGTTATTTGTGTTATAGCTTACTAACGGGGGTGTCAGTGCTGAGACTACAGTGGGCGCAAGACCGTTACTAGTAGTGCCCTTATCCTTCTGAACGCCGATCCGGCGTCTTTCCCTGATCATAGCCCTGGGGACTTTCGGTTGTGT